TCGATTTGATGATCGGTATTCATGATAATTTTTTTTCTTGGACAGACGACAACAGAATGGACGCACTGCAAATTATTCCAATGTCAAAGTTCAGAGGTTAACCAATCAGAATTGTTGGAGGTCAGATAATACCGATCGAAGGTTTTTAAATTGTGTAAACGAAAACACTACCAAGGTGCTATGAAATTTATCATGGAGCATATCAGTTAGAGAAACAGACTTAGTTATGGGATAAATATAAAAAAAATGTTTTCCCTCTATCTTATCCGTTATTTATTTGTTATTTATTTTTGTGTACATTGTAACATATCTAAATGTTTTATGACGAATCGGTAAGCTGCAGTTTGCGTAAAACAAAACAAAAAATAATATCCCAACACTATTATTGACGAGTTGTCAAATATCATTAACCTGAAATCAACTATCGAGGGGAGACTGAAAACGGCTACAAAGAAAAGAACTCGATCACTGCCATAGAGATTGATAAACTCGATCATTGATTTACCAGATGATAACGGCGAGGTCAAAGATTCCTTGTAACCGATACAGGTAAAGAGGATGACGATCATATAAACTATCGAGAAAAAAAATTAACACAAACCAACCAAAACCAACCACGTGAAACGGACTTAAACATACAAACATTGAAATAAAGCAGAAATGAAAAAAAAACAATCGAAATTGGTTTCCCTCTCCGTAATTCTTCCTTTTACCACTCACCGACGAAAGTCAGTGTTCTGCAATGGTATTTATTATAACTAAAACCTGCAGATGTATCAACTCAAACAGGGCAAAGGGCAAAGCAATTCAAAAGTATCAATCCATGTTGTCGTCAGAAATTGTTATTGAGAGTTTGTTTGATTGTATTGGATTTTCTTCAATATCGCTGTGACTTCGTCTGACAGAAGATAGGCAATGTTCGGTCAATGTGTGGTTCTATTACAATTATGCACCATTACAACTTTTCCTACTTACAAGGATATTTGTATAGCCACAGCATTCAAATCTAAATAAAGATATACAGGTATATTGTAAACTATACCCATTTCGAAAGTAAAATATTCTTTTATTATAATAAAAATAGCATTCTAGTAGCGGAATAAAAACAACGCTTAGGGCAAGTTCATGTAGGGGAGGTTACTCTTTCACACAATAATGCTTTTCATATTCTCGCGAGAATACGAAAAGATATACAGCCCTACATCTTGATTTGGTATTCGTTGCATTTCCTTATTAGAACATGCAATGGAATACTGAAAGGAAAACAATTAAGTTATCAAGTAATTAATAATAATAATAATAATAATAATAAGTTTTATTTATTGTCGGTATTAAAAACAATACAAACATTAGCTCTTTTGAGCTATTTCATCCGACACATGCATACAGTTACACATTAAATACACAGTGACATAATAGATAAGATATAAGTTTAGAACTACTCGGATAAAAAACTTTAATATTTAGCAGGTGATATATTAAAATATAGTATTGTTAAAATGTGTCTGATTATATAGGTGTTCTATGTGTGTCTGTAATCATGTGTGCATGTGTTGCATTTACATTTTGGCCCATACCATCTGTTAATTAGTGTCTTAAATTGTGTAAGTGTGGTTGTTGTTCTGAAATGGTCTGTTAGGGTGTTCCAAATTTTAGGTGCTTCTGATCTAAATGAGTGTTTGCCGTATTTTGTGGTCCTAACCTGTGGTATTTCCGCTGTATTATGGTATCTAAATGTATATGATTTTTCTGTTATGTTTATGAGGTCATGCAGATATGTTGGTGTTTGATTGTTGCTAATTTTGAAAACTTCTATTGCAAAATTTCGAAGGCGCCTAATTTTGAGAGAGGGTAATTTTGAACGGGTTAATAAATTTTCGTATGTATTTTCGTGGTCGTCATAGATGAATTTCAGAGCCCTTTCTTGAATTTTTTTCCATTTTTCGTGTATTAGTTTCACCACAGAAGTGCCATGTAAATGGGCAGAAATTAAAGTTCGAAAGAATGATATATAGTGAGTCTGCCCATTCTGTTTAAGTGTTTTCCTATGCGTTTGAGTGTATTGAGTTGTTTGGATGCATTTTTGCAGATGTTGGATACATGTGTGTGGAAGTTTAGTTTAAAGTCAAGTGTAACTCCTAGCAGTTTAACCTCTGGTTCGCATTTAATGGTATTGTTGCCTACTTGGAAAGTGATGTTTTCGTTTTGTGTTTTATTACCTACTGCCATGGCTTGAAATTTATTTGGGTTAGCTTTCATTTGATTGTTTGCGAGCCAGTGTATGAGTGAGTTGCAGTTTGTTTGTAGTGATGTTTTGACTGTTTCTAATGAGGTGTGTGCTTTGCAAATAGTGTTGTCGTCGGCATAGTTGTATAATTTGCAGTGTTGTATAGAGTGGAAAATGTCGTTGATGAAAGTGTTGAAAATAATTGGCCCTAATATTGATCCTTGTGGTACTCCTTTGCATAGTTCCTGAAAGGTGCTTTCAATATTTCCTAATTTAACCTTTTGTTTTCTGTTTTTGAGATAGTTCAAAATAAGTTGTGAGGCCGAATTTGAAAGTCCATAGTTTTTTAGTTTGGGAGTTAGTAGGTCATGAGGCAAGCAGTCAAAAGCCTTTGAGAGATCCATAAGTATGCATCCCACATACTTATTCTGGTCTAGTGCCATTTTCCAATCCTCAACGGCTCTCAATAATGCCGAATGACATCCATATCCGGCTCTGAAGGCAGAGAGGTAAGGGTGAAAGACACCATCAAGGAAGTCGCTGAGTTGGAAGTGTATGGATCTCTCAAAGACCTTGGACAGTGCTGGAAGTATACTCACTGCTCTGTAGTTTCCTTTGTCGAGGGTGCTGTATTTCTTGTGAATTGGTCTAACTTGTGCTGTTTTTAATGCGTCTGGGAATGTCGATGTAGTGAGAGAGAGGTTTACAAGTGTAGTGATAGGTTTGATAATGCTGGGTTGTGCTAGTCTTAAGAGTTTGGGTGAGATATGAGTTTGTCATGTCCTGTTGCTTTTTTAGGATTAATTTTGTTGAACTGTTTGTTTATGAATTCTATATCTACATGTTTAAATGTAAATTGTGTATCTTGTTTTTTGTTCCTGGCTATGGTCTGTAGACTAGGATGTTGATCGTCAATAGGGGGGCTGTTAGATCCAATATCTTTTGCTACATTAACGAAAAAATTATTAAAGGTGTCTGCTACTTCTGCTTGTTTGTTAATTATTTTTCCTTCTTCTTCCAATATAATGTCTACTTGATTTTGGCAGCCTTTGTTTGTAATAAATGGTTTGATAGTTTTCCAAAAGTTCTGGTTGTTTTGGCCCCTGTACATATGTCTAGGAAGTATTGCTTTATTGACTGTTTTCTGAGTTTAGTGACTTTGTTTCTCTGTGTTCTGTATTTTTCCCAGTTGCTTTTGGTGCGGTTGGTGATGTACTTATTGTGAAGCATTTTCTTGTAATATATCTCTTGTCTTAGTTTCTTGTTCATAAATGGTGTTTGGTGTAATCTAGCTCGTCTTTTTTTCATTGGGGCGTGTTTGTTTATTATGTCTGTCAGTGTTTTGCTGAAGTTGTTGTAGGCTGTGTTAACGTCTGTATGTTTAACTGTTTCTTCTAGTGATGCGTTCTGTAGGTCAATGTGGAAGTTTTCAATGTTAAAATTTCTGAAGCTTCTATATGTTACCAATGGTTGTTTTTTAATAGATATCTTACTTTTCATTTGACATGCTATTAAATTATGAACGTCACTGATTCCAGTATTAAAATTACATATTTTCCCTATTAAATTTGGTTTGTTGGTTAAAATCACATCAATCAGTGTAGGATCAGTGTTTTTAGGAAAGCAAGTTGGTTTTTTTATTAGGTTTGTCAGGTCGAAAATGTCACAGATATTTCGCAGAGGCTGTCCTTTAGGTGTTAAAAGGTCATAGTTGATATCACCTAAAACCATAAAATGTTCATACTTTGTTGTACATTTATCAAAAGTTTTACAAAAATCATTTGAAAAGTTTCTTTCAGACATACTAGGAGGTCGGTACACACCCTGTATTAGCCACTTTACATTATTTATGTTAAGTAACTTTCTCCAGTACCTTCGTTCAGCCATTATTTTTCAAAATAGACGGTTTTCAAAGGTCTGATAGAATGAAATTATTCTTCAACCGGAGAAGTGCTTCCGGTTTTCGGACCATAAAAATGAAGGAAGGGAGGTAACTCTGCCCAATATTTTACTTTAACTTCCAAGCTTTAGTATTTGAAGAGCTCCGCTCTTACGGCGACACAGCCAACGCTCTTATGAATACATTCTAGTTGTGAAATATTACATTAAATCACTCTATAACCCCTGAAAATAGTTTTTAAGAAAGGCTGACACAATTCGTTCTTGTCGAGGTATTGTAAACAATAGTTACGCTAACAGAGAATAAGTTGTTATACTTAAAATGTAACTTGCATGACCTCCAGAAGCATCTAACATAATCCAAAAATGTTGTAATGATCCTAAAAGTGGAAAGCAAAAGTAGTGTCTGGTCATACTCTTAACGACAAGGCCGCGACGGAGAAAATTTCCTTGTTTGTGTGTGGGTAATGACATTATTTACAACTTCCGAAAGACATTGATGTGAATCTTTACTTTTTTGTTGTTGTTTGCTTGGGTTTGTTTTTTTCAAAATAAATAAATAAAAGAATTAATAAAGAATGAATGTGCATATTTTTATGATTACTAATTAACAAAACGTGTATAACCTTTAAACTTGCATTTAGTTGTTACAACACTTTTTATCAGTTTTGACATGGAATTCAGACATTTTATTTCCTTTGCTCTAAGTTTTTCTCGGTTGTTTAAGACATTTGAATTCATTTCGCAATTGCTCTGCCAAATATACCTTACAAGTCAAAAAGGTGCTTTATTGAAGGTATCTCTTTTCCTATTTTTTCCTCTTTATGTCAAGGATCGTGAGTAAATTTTAAACTGTCATCATTTTATATTGCAGGGCGGTGATGTTGGGCTATAATATACCTGGCCTAGGCGGCCCTCTTGTGCTCTCGAGATCAATGATCGTTGGCATTTTTAACGGCACTTACACGTGGTGGAACGATACTGTGTTCACATCGAGTAACCCTGGTCTCAACATCCCTTCAAAAAGGATTATCGTTATAGCTCGTGCTGACAAATCTGGTACTACTTCTATATTCACGGAAGCTTTGTCTGCTTTCAGTCAAGAATGGAGTCAGCAATACGGAATATTCTCAAAAGGCATTAACCCGGATACTGAACTTCCGTATCATTGGAATTCGGACGTCATTACTTATTACGGTCAACAGAATAGGGGAGTGTCGGGCTTAATTTTATCTTTCAGGGATTCAATAGGTTACCTCTCTGTTGCTGATGCTTACGAGGCAGACATCGCTTCAGCGACAATCGTGAACAAAGCTGGTCGACTAATCACCGCTAACTCTACCACCGTCCAGAGTGCTATGGATTATTTTTCGGAAAAAAGTTCTGAATTGACGTTCAGCTTAGCAGATGGCGGTTCGGACTTGGCATACCCGATAGCAGGATTCACCCACATAATCATGTACAAAACAACAATGAAAAACTGTGCGTCTGCTAAAGAGCTGGTACGTTATTTAGACTGGGCAATGACATCAGAGTCTGAGCGAGCAGCGTGCGATAATAAAGGTATGGCGCCACTAAGTCTGAATATGGTTGAGCAAGTGAAGTCAGTCGTTCTGAAAAATATAGTTTGTCACGGCGCAAACGTGTGGGATATGGTGCAGAGTGACAAAGAAGCAGAAGGTAGAGAGGTACAGCAATGGGTTATTCCAGTATCAGTCACTATTCCCATAGTAGCATTGTGCATCCTGTGTCTTTGCTGTTATATCATCAAGCAGCGTATGCATATCCAGAAAATGATTGATAACGACGAATGGCTCATTCCGATCGAGGACATACTTTTTTACTTTGACGGAAGAGGTAGGTCATCCATGAACTCGCGAATCGCTGATCTATCTTCTGTAATGTCAGCTGCGTCGGTGAAAGACGCATCGGACGACGATATCCTGATTAAGCACATTATACAGTGGCCGGGGAAATATCGAGGCAATCACATAGGCATTCGTCTGATGGAGGTCGCAGAGCTAGACCAGTTGGCGCGGCAGACTAAACATCAGTTACTGTTACTGAAGAATAGAATCACACACGCCAACGTGGTAAGGATGTTTGGTTTGACGGAGGTCGATGCTAGAAGGTACGTTATTGGAGATTACTGTGGCAAGGGTAAGATGACAAACCTTCTTCGTGATGACAAGTTTAACTTGTCTAATGATTTCAAATGTACCCTAGCAGGAGATGTGGCAAACGGAATGCATTACTTACATTCGAATGATATAGTACATGGTCAGTTGCGATCTGATTCTTGTCTTATAGATGACAGGTGGCAGGTGAAGATATGCGACTGGGAATATGTGACACTTTTGTCATTACAACAAGCGAATGTCTCCCCAATACTCACAATGCGAAAAAATTCAGACAAGGACTTAACCACAAATGAAATCGCTTTCAAAAATTTTTGGATTAGTCCAGAAATATTGCGATCGGACTTTACTGTCTTTCCATCAAAAGACTCAGACGTGTATAGCTTCGCTATCATTCTTCAAGAAATATTCACCCGAGAAGAACCGTATTCTGAACATGCGGGCATGTTGACTCCGCCAGAGGTGATAAGTGCTGTGACTCTTAACAATCTTCGACCAGAACACAATGAAGACACACCCGTTAACATAAGACAGCTTATGGAGATATGTTGGAATGACAACGCAATATCACGTCCTTCCTTCGAGCAGATTCTTAAATTACTCAAACGTGCCAATCCTCTTAAAAAGACTGTTATAGACAGCATGATGTCTTCGATGGAAGAATATATTGCCCATTTGGAGGAGAGAGTTGAAGAGAAAAACGCTGAATTGAAGGTCTCTAATAACAAATTAGAAACGACACTGTCTGGTTTGATGCCTAAATTTCTTGCACAAAGATTATCGAATGGTAAATCCGTCAAACCAATGTTCATATCAGATATCGCAGTAGCCATCCTGGATATTTCGCACTCTCTTGCAGACATTGAAAATGTAAATCCTAATGACGTCATCGCTTTTATCAACGAACTTTGTTTTGAAATTGATATGCTTGCACGAAAATATTCTGTTTACACTACCCAAATGAATGGTTGTTCTCTAGCACTTGTGTATGGCGTGGAGTCATCTTCCTCGATAAAAGTGGACGAAATGTGTCTTTCGATGGTAAATCTGGGCTTGGATATCCTCTCACATGAGGATATTGAAAGGCTGGCAAATTCAACAGAGCACCAATTTGACATGAGACTTGGTGTTCACGTAGGCCCTGCAATCACTGGCCTATCTGGAATAGCATCACCATCCTATGTAGTGTTTGGTAATTGTACGGACATAACACAGGCTATAGCACGCACCGCACCTGTCAGAACTGTACACGTGTCCGAGAGTTTGTGGCGAAACATCAAGCGCAGCAAGCAGTTTGAGGCCAATACAGCGGGAGAGCTTAGTGTGAAGGTAGGCTTGTAATAAACCTACATCTATATACATATATAGGCCTGTAGGTCAGTTAAAGGAATGATAAAGTTAGACTTATATACATAAGTCAGTATATCAGGTAAGATAAATGTAAAGGTAGAACTGTAGTACATGTAAACCTATGTATATATACAGTGTAGTATTCTAATAACCATTATGCTTGTTTCTTCTCCTTTCTTCCGCCGGTTTTTCAGACATTTTTTTTCAAAAGACCCCTTGATATAATTTAACGAAACTTAACAACTTAACATGTTCGTGTACGAGAGACATTGTGCTAGAGTTTTATCGACCGGTCATCTTTCTGTTGATATCTGTTTTCTGAATAGACGAGATGGCCACCACATAGTGGCTTCTGATTGGTTAATTTTTAGATATTCAATAATCATAAATATTAGTTTGTGGGTATTGTCTGACATAGGGAACACAATGATGAGGACAATTTTCTGATTTAACAAAACGTCCGCCGAGGAGAGCTCGATTGGTTGTCCGATTTTTTAAATGAAATTCGGTAAAAAGGAGTTGTCTGACTTTTGTTTGTAACAGTATGTTTGTGACAGTAATCAGTGTATTAATGAATAATATTTGTCTTATTTGTAATCATTGTCTGGTTTGTGATAGTAAACTTGAGGATAAAGTAAGCTTACAATATTCTCTCTTTACTGTATATTTCGGGTGATATCGGAATACCAACATGAACATGGGCAGTGAACATGACGTCCAGTGTTAGGTGTCTATCTGATTATGGGGAATGAAAATATGTAGAGAACAACCAACCAATTGAAAAACAGACTTCTGAAACAACCCTTGTGGATAGACAATTGAGCCCCAAAAAAGATGTTTGGCCGTCATTGATTGGCCAGTATACTATGAAGTTCCAGAACATATAGGTGTCCTTACAGGTGATTATTCATAGATGATGTTGGTAATTATTCCGTAAGTCTGATTTAAATTTTTGTTCCAAATTGGAGGTTATATGATTAAAAGGTAAAATGAATGAAGAAGTTTTGAGATTTACACCATCACATTAACACTGAGGTATGTAAAATCAATTGCTTGGTTGGTCTCTTCACGTTTGGCTGTCGACTGTCTGATAATGACTGAGTGAAATCCTTTACTTTTGGCTGTCATATGTCTGAATATGTGTGATAGAAAATTCTTTACATTTGGCTGCCGTATGTCGGATTATGTTTAAGCAAGAATCTCTCAGATTCTGCTGTCGTTTGTCTGATAATGTTTTAGAGGAAATCTTTCACGTTTGTCAGTTGTTAAGGTATAGGTTTTGAACTTTGAGAATGCATTTGACCATGGACTTGGAATAGAGCGTTTGTGATAAGACGCGTCTAAAACAAGTTCGTGGATTATGGAGGTGTTTCACATCTCTCAAATTTGCAGATTGACTGTAGAATTAAAGAATTTGAACATCAGTGAGAGTAAGGGTTATAGACCTGTTTTAAACATGGCTGTTCCGTACAATTTCCGTAGAACTTCCCACTCAAAAACTGTTTGTTAAACGTTCGGTTAAACATTTTAGGGGTCGCACTTTTTATGAAAACGAAATATAATATATAAATCATTCTACACACAAGATATATATTTCAGTATTACTACTTAATAAGTAATTATATCGTACCTGAAAAATATAACACGTCATTTATTTGAAGTAAATGATGTTGATGACTGTATTTCCGGTGTGTATCCTTTATATAGACCTACGCGCGTCATTGAAAATATCTGTAAAAAAATGCAGTTTACACACCAGTAAACAACAAAAACTTAAAATTATTTCTTAAGTATATTTATGAAAAAACCTTAACCAACTCAATATCATAACGCATACAATGTCATCTTTGTATCACAATCGTTAAGACTTGTTTCTGACGTAACACTGTCGGTGATAAAACTAGCTTGTACATATATAATCAGCAGTCAGAGATGGGATGCGGTCTGAACACTAACATTTTTAAACAAAAGGAATGTGTTGTTTTAGGAAACAACAGCCAAGTCAATCATAAAGCGTTTCTTATACGCTGTCATTTTCGCCTGGTTTTTACCGGAGATTTACCTTATTTCAGATTTCTTCATATTTGCTGAATGGCAATTTTGAAAACATTGAAAAGTTGTTATTTAAAGTATTAGATGTACGACATTTCCATTTCAGAAAGGGGAATGGTTATATTCGACAATTAATTTAATTCGGAAATTAACTTTGTATGGTAACAATTTTAGTTATGGATCTAGATAAGTCACAGGACCTGTAAAACAGACTTAAACATAACGGTTTAAACAGTCATCTTTGGTGAACATTTGGACATTTAAACAAATTATTTTTCTTTAACATATGTCATCTATCAGAAGCTATTTTGGTTGACTGTAGCATACGTATAAGTCTTTCTTACAAAATCAGCAAACATTCCGCTTTTTATAACAACCGAAACAAACAACTGACCGTAGCATTTCCGTCACAAGTCCGTGCTGTTTGCGTATTACGCAGCGTTTCCGTTCAAGTTGGAACGGCAAGCGTGTACAGGTTTGTAAAATGAAGATTATTTCATCTCGTGATCAGAAGGTTTTCATGTATGATCAGATATCCTTTAAGACATATGTTAATTACTATGATACGTCATGCCATATTAGTGCTATTTTACCTCCTGTGGTATGCGACAGCTATTGTTACCAACTTCATTATCAAAAGAATCTGTTAATAAGGTCGTCGTTGTTTGCACTTCAATATTATACTGATCAATAGCTGAAGAGTACAGCTGTGTTCTGCTCCTATCATAAACTGTGATACAACGAATCATAAATGTTTTATTCCTTCATCAATCTGCTTGTACAGCTCTAATATGAAAACGTCTGTCTTAATTATTTTATACAAAGAACTCCAACGCGTGTAAATTGCAATCAACGTAGAGAATGACCCAGAAAATATCTTGTACTTGTTTGCCCCATGTCAATAATTCTGTGACGCTTTGAGCATTGATCTGACGAATATGTATCTAGAATATTGATTAAAATTATTAACTATTAGTAGGGTAAAGCTGAGAACTCAAATAATATGGTCGTTATATATGAATACCTGTCAGTATCAGAAATTATTTTACACATTTAATTTAGTTATCGAGTAGTATTTACTGTCTTCGTAATATATTCCTGATAAATACTGATTATCTATGGAAAGAAACATTGAAATAGAAATAATAATTATCTGTTTCTGAATATGTATTTCATTCCGGGTAAAGCGATATCTTCATAATATTATAACGTTTTCGATAATGTGTTTAAAAAGTCTTTAAAATGTTATTACAAGATTTGATATGGTTTCTTACTCGTTTCTTTTACAAAAAAATAGGGCAATATTTTGAAAATATTACAGCGCAATGTTTCAGTTTAGCGTTTCTAAAATGTTCTTATTATATCACAAAATTGCATGTGTTTAGCAAAAAATGAAGATACATGTAAAATGTTTTTGAAATATTTGAAAAATATAATATCAATGTTACTCGTCAAACGTTTCCTGCTTAAAGTTTTTAGTACAAAGTTTAACATTTTGGACTGTTTTTGTTTAACACTTCACTCTAACATTATACAGACGTTAGGAGATTACATTACAAAGCATTGATAAAACGTCCATATGGTACGCCGTTCTTGATGGTGAACATTTACATGGTATGCTGGTGTGCAGCAATTTTGCGAAACTGCTGGCGTCTCGAAAGGATTTTTATGATCGTTTTGATCATAACGTTATTTAGTTACAACATGCTTTTACAACGCCATGTTCTAATTAGAAGGTTTGTTCAAGTAACAATCTTGTTCACATTTCGATAAGTTCTTGCTGTTTTTGTTTCCATGATGTGCTCAGAAAATGATATACTGAGATCTGAAGATATTGTCTCTACCATCTGACATATTGGACTGTTTTGCCTTTCCTCGGTTTTCTGACACTGTGGTGCATTTCGCCAGTGTGTCCTAATACTATGGTATATTTTGTTGCTGTGTTCTGATACAGTGGTACACTTTGTTTCTGTGTTCTGATACAGTGGTACACTTTGTTGCTGTGTTCTGATGCAGTGGTACACTTTGTTGCTGTGTTCTGATGCAGTGGTACACTTTGTTGCTGTGTTTTGATACTGTGGTATACTTTGTTGCTGTGTTCTGATACAGTGGTACACTTTGTTGCTGTGTTCTGATACTGTGGTATATTTTGTTGCTGTGTTCTGATACAGTGGTACACTTTGTTGCTGTGTTCTGATACAGTGGTACACTTTGTTGCTGTGTTCTGATACAGTGGTACACTTTGTTGCTGTGTTTTGATACTGTGGTATACTTTGTTGCTGTGTTCTGATACAGTGGTACACTTTGTTGCTGTGTTCTGATACAGTGGTACACTTTGTTTCTGTGTTCTGATACAGTGGTACACTTTGTTGCTATGTTCTGATACAGTGGTACACTTTGTTGCTGTGTTTTGATACTGTGGTATACTTTGTTGCTGTGTTCTGATACAGTGGTACACTTTGTTGCTGTGTTCTGATACTGTGGTATACTTTGTTGCTGTGTTCTGATACAGTGGTACACTTTGTTGCTGTGTTCTGATACTGTGGTATACTTTGTTGCTGTGTTCTGATACAGTGGTACACTTTGTTGCTGTGTTCTGATACTGTGGTATACTTTGTTTCTGTGTTTTGATACTGTGGTATACTTTGTTTCTGTGTTTTGATACTGTGGTATACTTTGTTGCTATGTTCTGACACTGTGGTATATTTTGTTGCTGTGTTCTGATACAGTGGTACACTTTGTTGCTGTGTTCTGATACAGTGGTACACTTTGTTGCTGTGTTCTGATACAGTGGTACACTTTGTTGCTGTGTTCTGATACAGTGGTACACTTTGTTGCTGTGTTCTGATACAGTGGTACACTTTGTTGCTGTGTTCTGATACTGTGGTACACTTTGTTGCTGTGTTCTGATACTGTGGTACACTTTGTTGCTGTGTTCTGATACTGTGGTATACTTTGTTGCTGTGTTTTTATACTGTGTTATACTTTGTTGCTGTGTTCTGATACAGTGGTACACTTTGTTGCTGTGTTCTGATACTGTGGTATACTTTGTCTCTGTGTTTTGATACAGTGGTACACTTTGTTTCTGTGTTCTGATACAGTGGTACACTTTGTTGCTGTGTTCTGATACAGTGGTACACTTTGTTGCTGTGTTTTGATACTGTGGTATACTTTGTTGCTGTGTTCTGATACAGTGGTACACTTTGTTGCTGTGTTCTGATACTGTGGTATACTTTGTTGCTGTGTTCTGATACAGTGGTACACTTTGTTGCTGTGTTCTGATACAGTGGTACACTTTGTTGCTGTGTTTTTATACTGTGGTATACTTTGTTGCTGTGTTCTGATACAGTGGTACACTTTGTTGCTGTGTTCTGATACTTTGTTTCTGTGTTTTGATACTGTGGTATACTTTGTTTCTGTGTTTTGATACTGTGGTATACTTTGTTGCTGTGTTCTGACACTGTGTTATACCTTGTTGCTGTGTTCTGATACAGTGGTACACTTTGTTGCTGTGTTCTGATACTGTGGTACACTTGGTTGCTGTGTTCTGACACTTTGTTATACCTTGTTGCTATGTTCTGATACTGTGGTACACTTTGTTGCTATGTTCTGACACTTTGATATACTTTGTTGCTGTGTTCTGATACTGTGGTACACTTTGTTGCTGTGTTCTGATACTGTGGTACACTTTGTTGCTATGTTCTGACACTGTGTTATACCTTGTTGCTATGTTCTGATACTGTGGTACACTTTTTTGCTGTGTTCTGATACTGTGGTATACCTTGTTGCTATGTTCTGACACTGTGTTATACCTTGTTGCTATGTTCTGATACTGTAGTACAATTTGTTGCTGTGTTCTCGTTTCCTACTTTGTCAGTATGTTTTAACATTACGGTATTCCATTGTGTTAACTGTTTTGTTGTTCTTTTAGGGGATGACTTTTGTCACCTATACAGTGAAAAGAATACAAGAAGGAGTGAAATACGCCACATCAGAGGATTCTGGCGTGGGAGTGGAGCCACAATCCCAGACATTAATGGAATGTTCCGACACAAAAAAGAAAAACGACCGTTTATACAAGACAAGCAAAAAAGTGAACGATCTTCGACAAGAGGCCGAAATACAGAGTTTCGACATAGTTGATGTTAAGTTCGCTGATCGTGCAAAAAGTATAGGGATTCATGGTGACACATCGCGGACACGAGTAAAGGATAAACAACATAACTACTATCACAAACGATATTCTAGTTCCCACAGACGACGTTCACTTGATTTCATTAACGATGCTAGTGTACAAAGTGTACAGGACAGTATAACATCCCTTCCTTCGGAGATGGCAGTCATGCACACGTCCCACGTTGGGCTACCTGTATCCAAGGAATACGTCCCGGTCAAAAGTAAATGGAAACGTAGATTCTTTGCGAACAATATCTATCCTGACAATTAACGAGCACGGTGTATTTCATGTTTTAAACGATATATACTGCTGGTAAAATTCTGTACAATTAACACGTTCAAACATCAGTTAATCAAAGCAGGAGAAAAACTCCATTTGTTCAATCATTTTTATCCAACAAAATCGTTCCTGGGAACATTTTGAAATTTGCGGCGGTATATCGTGAATGACCTGTCATAGAAATCTGTGATACTTTGACCAGGATCTGCTATTGTCGGGATTGGTTTTTCGACAGACACCGGTGATTTGAGTGGCAGTAAGGAAAACTGATATCTCATGATTCCTTGCTACAGGCGTTCATTGTTACTGTGTATTAGTGCACACCTCTTAAGAATGAATGGGACTGTGATATGATCACATATTCTTTCACAAATCAAATGCAGTTTGTAAGATTATAGGATATCACGATCAAGCGTATAAATGCCATGACTGTTTTAATGTTAATATGACACTAAACGTATCAATCATAATGTACATTAAAATCAAACGAAGATCAGAAACAAAAGTGTTTATTTTTTCGTTTGTGTTTGTGTTAGAAGAACTGTTCACTGCTGTGTCGCATTATGGTAAGAAGCGACTCTTTTCCATATTACATTTCTAAGAATATACATGTAGTTTTCGATAGAAACCCTTTCCATCTGGTCTATCGATTTGGTGATATTTCAGACGGTACATCACTCCTTTCCTACAGGTCACCAGCTGGAAATAGCTTCTCTTCCTGCAACCCCGCTTTCTTCTAAATCCGTGTACTATAGGAAATGAGAACTGTAATTAGAGATACCCCGTCTTTATACTGTGAACAGTAATAGATAAATGTGTACATATCATCAGGCGATTCTTAAATGAGATGTAGGCGTTAGTTTACAGGTGATGTGTACAGATTAGCGAGAAGAACCGTTATATTACAGTTGTGGGATCTCACAACTGTGCGCACGATATATACACGATAGGAAAACTTGGTCGAAATAAGCTATCGCACATTTGTGTGCACGTTATGCAGTTCTATCGTAGTTGATTAAAATTTAGGAATGACTTATAGATAAGTGCGGGATATGATTTTTGTTATTTTCTAGATATATAATAGTACAACTAAGTATATTTCCTAATCAGGCATACATATATAGGATGGACACGTCAATTTCTCAGACGCAGACTGAATAGTTACACAAATTTGTAATATAAAATGTTTAGTTTACATGTGCCGTCTCGGACCTGTCAAGTATGTACCCGTATACAGGTATTTTTTGTTGCCCGAGGCACATTATCGCCACCCTGTGAAGTGTAAAACGTTACAATAAGACTAATTAATGCAGGGTCCAGTGTTACGTCGAAAACTGTCAAATTGAAAATGATTTTTCTAATCACCGACCAATTGTAATATTCTCGTAATCGCTATTTAGTCATAACTACACGCGTTTTCCTTTTTATTTTCCATGCGTAATATATATCAACCGTTTTTACCTAACCGCACAAATGTGCGATGTGCACACGATGCTGTATAAAACGTGTATGCGCACGATATATGTACGATGTTCTCATGAAGTTTTTTGTGCCTTGTTCGTTACCACAGCTGTACTTTTTATACCGAGTCAACACAAGCCCATGTTTATTGTTAGCGTACAGGAAAACACAAAGCACCTATGACAGCGTGGACGACTCAAGACAATTTGATCCTTTGTCAATAAGATGTTTTGGAAATCGATATAAAACAAGGAAGAAAAAAAAGGAATATTTATCTATCCTTCAACACTAATGCTGTGCTTGCCAGCCTAACAACCAGAAGTGCCTTAACAACAGTTTAATACAGGTGTGATAATTTATACCTACCCTCCATGTTTCGTTATATTATGCCAGTTATACCTAGATTTATACTGTAGTAAATTATTCACCATCGACATTGTTATCAGTCAAGTGGAACAACCATTTTGACAACCAACAAGAGCGGTTTCTACGTCGTTGCTATGCCTACAATATAATAAACCACGCCCCTTTCTGGATAGTTTATATGTCTATATTTAAATTCAAATATTTTAACATTGCACACAAACGATATGTTCTCATTTCAATTATATACACGTTAAATTCCTTACCCTATGATTACTCTACTGATTGAGTTGGTTTGAGGAAGGGATTGATATTCTGTTTTCTACGGTAACTTTAACTCCCTATTTGGAACTTGTCTCTCGAGCGTTCTCTAACAGGGATTCGTTTGTTCTGAAACGAACTCGGGTAAAGTAAGAGCTCAACATGGCTCTATCTGTGTGGTCTTAGTTATGAAATTCATTAGAGATGAATGTCCAACAAAACAAAAGGAAAAACACCGTAAAAATACACGTTACTTGGTTTCGAACATTATTTTAACAAAACATTATCTCCAAATATATAAAACAGCAGATATATTGTTCTTCAACAGATTCAATATTGCAATATTTGATAAAAGATTAAAACAAAGCAATCACTACAAACAATAGGAAGTTCAGAACCGAAATATAACATTTTAATAAAGATACACGCCATCATGTTTACATGGATTTTCAGTGACGAAGCAATTTCATTGTGAAGGAAATTGATAGCCATACTTTTTAATATTCTTTTCAAAGTTGATTTTCATCAATAAAAAGCAACCTTTATCTGCCATAATGATCAATTACATTATACACGCACCTACACTCGGTATGATATAACGGGATGCCTATAAATTATGTAGATATTTAGCGTAATATTAAATGAGTTTTTCCATGTAAACTTGTGTGACGATGAGTGAGTGGGTGTCTCTTTGACATAACATGCCATGCCATCATCCGATAACAGTACTATATATCATTAATCAGCTGGGAAATAGGGACTAGAGTCAAACAAGCATAAATCTTTAGATATACATTTCAAAATTATCTTTCTCTCTAATGATGAATGGCATTTAAACAATGAACTAAAACCAGTGGTTCATTTCGTAATTGTTTTCATCCATGAATAACATCATTAAAATTACATTATTTCTTGTGTCCTTACGGTATAATAACTAAACACCGCCGTATTCTGTCCTCGGGTGTTGATAATTGACTATGTGTGATATTGTACTCAGCCGGAAATTAAATATCCCACGTAAATAACTAACGACCAACACTGAATTTATTAAAGGTGAATTTGAAAAAAAAAAAAAATAATAAAATAACGGTCATGTGATTGTCTGCTTGAAATCTGTATTTTTTCCGAGAGAAGATTGTAATTCAAAACTCGCAAATGTGTCATATAACGCTTCCGTAACAGGGTCTTAAAGGATGTTCAAGTAAAACAATAGATCCAATGTAAGTGCTTTCTTATAAGATATTCGGTAAGGGTCATTATTAATATTACGTAAAGCTCGAATGGTGTTTATTATGGTTATACTCAGCAAATGTATCATCGATTTTGAGTTTAAATTAAAGCTTGTTTTATATCTGTTTAGTTTAGGAGTGATGTTTGCTTATCTTTTATCAAAGTCTACATTTTAAAGGTGTATTCAGTGAAGTACGTGTACTTTGATTGAATTATTGGAGGTAGACTTATGATATGGACCACCACAGGTTCAGATCATTAAAATGAACCACGTGAATCAGCTCCCGACAACAAATATTATATTTGCACGTGTAATTCAATATATGATAGTATATTCCCAATACGACAACAATAAGGAGATCTGTAAACAGTCTGTGTTCTATCTTACTTCTCACTTTACTTGGAAATGCGGACACGATGATTATTACCTACACTCACAGAGATTAGATTTAAAACATAGAAGCAAAACTTGAAAACCAAATAAACATCCTGAATAAACACACTCAATGCAGCGCAAACATAACTGCCGAAGACTTCTCTTTTTCCCACTACACAGCATCCTGTGGCACTGAATACGGTCACACTGCAGTAGTCTGTATCTCGTCCCGCTTGACGCCTTAAACATATTGTACCACAGATTGTGTCTCCAGAGCTGTGTATTGTCCCGTCCAAGGAGCTATCTCATATCCTGTCTCTAGAGCTGTTTATTGTCCCGTCCCAGGAGCTATCTAATATCATGTCTCTGGAGCTGTTGATTGTTTCGTCCCAGGAGCTATCTGATATCCTGTCCCTAGAGCTGTCTATCGTTCCGTCCCAGGAGCTCTCTCACCATGTCTCCGGAGCTGTTTATTGTTTCGTCCAAGGAGCTATCTGATATCCTGTCCCTAGAGCTGTCTATCGTTCCGTTCCAGGAGCTACTGATATCCTGTCTCTAGAACTGTCTATCGTTCCGTTCCAGGAGCTATCTCATATCCTGTCTCTAGAACTGTCTATCGTTCCGTTCCAGGAGCTACTCATATCCTATACCTAGAACTGTCTATTGTCCCGTCCAAGGAGCTCTCTCACCATGTCTCCGGAGCTGTTTATTATTTCGTCCAAGGATCTATCTCATATCCTGTCTCTAGAACTGTCTATTGTCCCGTCCCAGGAGCTATCTCATATCCTGTCTCTAGAACTGTCTATTGTTTCGTCCAAGGAGCTATCTCATATCCTGTGCCTAGAGCTGTCTATCGTTCCGTTCCAGGAGCTACTCATATCATGTCTCTAGAACTGTCTATCGTTCCGTTCCAGGAGCTATCTCATATCCTGTATCTAGAACTGTCTATTGTCCCGTCCCAGGAGCTATCTCAAATCCTATCCTTAGAATTGTCTATTTTCCCGTCCCAGGAGCTCTATCACCATGTTTCCGGAGCTGTTTATTGTTTCGTCCAAGGAGCTATCTGATATCCTGTCTCTAGAGCTGTCTATCGTTCCGTTCCAGGAGCTATCTCATATCCTGTCTCTAGAACTGTCTATCGTTCCGTCCCATGAGCTATCTCATATCCTGTCTCTAGAACTGTCTATCGTTCCGTCCCATGAGCTATCTCAAATCCTGTCCCTAGAGCTGGATGTTGTTCCGTCCCAGGGGCGATCTCATATCATGTCTCTAGACTTGTATATTGTCCTATCACAGGGGC